TCCCTTCTGTTGTTAAAAGATGAGTGGTCTGTTGCTTGTATCAGAGCTCAACTCTTCCACTTGCGCATAGATTCAAGATGACCAACGATCTATATGGGGTATTGCTGTATCTAATAGACACTCTCCAGTGTTCATTTTCCTTTGCCTGTTGGCTGCATTTGACACAGTCAATCACTTTCTTCATCTGAAACTTGGTAAATTCTTGGCTTCTAGGTCTCCACACTCTATTGATTTTCTTGTTAATGATGGAGATTCTTTCCCCATCCCTTATGGCTGGATCCTTTTTATCAGCCTGACCTTCAACATGAGAGCACACAGGACTATTGTGTTTTGTTCTTTATTTGTTTCTTTCTTCTTTGACTTTATTGAGTCTGATGGCTTTAACAATGTCATGTCTATGCTGACAAATATATACAGTCATGCCTCATTTTATTGCTTTTTAATTTGATATAATCCCTGGTGTTGATTCTTGCTGTTATTTCTTGTGCAGTTGGATTTCTGTTCAGAAAGTCCATGCCTACTCCTATTGTTAGAGGAGTTACAAGCTGAGTTATTTAGAACTATTATAGGCAGTCAGACAGGGCTGGGAGGATCCATGCAAAAAACCAGATACCTTGCAACCTTGGAGGAGACAAACACCTTCTGCTGTTGGCCAGATCTCAAGACAAAGGCAAAGCAAATACACCCACATCCTAAGGACTGACAGTTCAGATAGTTCTCCATCACCCCAAGGAAACCAAGAGTCACCCATCCAAACCCCTTAGAGGAAGAGTCACTGTTCTTTAAGCATGCCTGCTTGTTATGTGACTCCCTTCCCCATTTGTCCCTGACTAGGTCAATTTTACCTGAACAATTAATTTTATTGGTTACTCATAGTTCTGTGAGTTCCCATGTTTTCCCCACCTTGGACCTGTCCCACCTTGTGGATTTACTTTATAAAAGTCCTTAGAAAAGACAGTCTTTGCCAACCTACTTGGAATCTCTTATGTCTCTCCCAGACAGATGCTTTCGTTCTTTCAATAAGTATATTCTGCTGTTAACCTCCATTGTTTCTAAAATTCATTCTTTGATGTTAGAGAACACGAATTTATATGGGACATATAGTAGGTTGGGAGTTTCATTCCTCTATATCACTAAGATTCCAAAAACTTTACCTATTTCATTTTCAAGGAGGTTGCTTCTGCTTTAATGTTTAGATCTTTGAACCATTTTTAGTTTTGTGCATAGTGAGAGATATGAGTCCAGCTCTCAATCATCTGCATTTAGATGAACAGTTTTCGCAACATCATTTGCTAAAGAGTTTATTTTTCTTCCAAGATATGGTTTTGGTTCCTTTGTCAAAGCTTAGCTAGCTGACTGTGTCTGGGGACATTTCTGCTCCACTGATCAAGTATTTCTTGATATGATAAATCACTGTTGCTTTGTGGTATAACTAGAAGTAGGTATTGCAATGCCTTCTGTTTTGCTCTTGTTGCTCAAGATTGTGTTCACTATTTTGGATCTGATTCCATATGAATTTTACAATTGTCTTCTCCAGTTCTGTAAGAAATGTTATTGGTATTTTGATTCAGATGGCATTAAATCTACATATCAGCTTTGGGAGAATGACCAGTTTGACAATACTGGTTCTGCCTATTAAAGAACAATGAAAACTGTAGTTTCATTGAATGAAACTGTAGTTTTTCATTGTAGAGGTTTTTCACTTCCTTGGTTAGGTTAATTCACAGATATTGATTTTTTCTTGATGCTACTGTGAATGGTATTGTTGTCCTAATTTCCTTCTCAGTGAGTTTGTTATTGGTATACACAGATCCTATCGACTTATTTGTATTGATTTTGAAAACTGCTACATTACTGAAATTGGTTATTAATTCTGAGTCTTTTGGTGGAATTCTCTGGGTGTTCTATGTAAAGTATCATGTCACTTGCAAATAATAATTTGGCTTTTTTTCTATAATTATCATTTTTCTTTCTCTTGCCTTATTGCTTTGACTAATATTTTGAATATCATGTTAAAAGGATTATTACTCTTAAATACCAAATAAGTTTAAAAGTGCCTGAAATTTCATTAAGCCATCAATGAAGGCATTAAAACATAGAAGTCATTTATGAAGTTCAAAACTTTAAGGGTTTAAGCCACATTCCTTTAAGAGGAAGGGAATGAGACAGTGAATTGTGTCATTCTAGGAGTGTGGTTTGCTGTGCTGCAGAAGGTATTTAAACATTATACATAAAAGTATAGAGTGGACGACGTTCAAGAGCATGAAACTTGAAGGCATCTGTTTCTGAGCGGCTTTGAAGCTGAGACTGTATTTAGCCTTGAGCAGATTTTGTGTATATATCAGTCTCACTTCACAGATGTAGAGATTTTGCCTTCAAATTCTACAGAGTAGTCAATTTTGATTCATTTTGCTGAACAGATTTTAGACATTTGGAAATTCAAAAAGACCATAAGAATAACTTATGTGATAAAAAATACAGTGAATGTTTAAATTTTAAAACAATGACTGTAGTACAACATTTTGCTATTAATCTCCCTGAAAGTACTCCCCTTTATTTAAAACACACTCACTCCATTATTCTCGCCTCTTTGTGAAGCAGCTCTGAAAACATAACCATGCCTGGATTTCTTTTTATCTTGAACTCACTATGTAGCCTATCTTCTTGCCTCAGTTTTCCAAATGCTGGGCTTATAGGTGTGTACCACCACACCCAACCAGGAGTATATCTTTTGAGATACAAAAGTGTAAATTCTCATTAGGCAAATTATAAAGCAAACATAATTATGAGTCCTGGGTATAGATTCTATAATAGCCTCTAATCCCAGACTAGCTTGGACAAATTAGGGAGAATTTGATTCAAAATTAAAAAGAAAAGGAAAAGAAAAAAAAGGTCTGGGGTTGTTACCTTAGTATTTCTTGGGTTAAATTTCTAGTACTAAAAAAAAATGTGTGAGGTCACCTTAAAAAGAAAGTATATATTATCATACTCAGTATTATTTGAACCGAGCCTCTGTATCATTTGTAAATTGTACACCTAAATAAAGTCTAGGAATTGGGGTGAGTCTAGTGAAGAGGAAGTCCTTAGAGCAAAGTGAACCTTCCTGCCTCAACTATTTACTGAACCATACTGTACTATGGTCACTGAGTAGGTTTCTGCTCTTCATTACCTTCAAAATCTGGACAGAAAAATCAAGGCTAAACTAATTACTCAGTGAGAAGACTAGATCTAAGGTTAAAATCCACTGCACTTGGCTATACTGAAAATGTTTCTTGGCTCCATTCAATTTATCCACTTGGCAAATATTTTTAAATACCTTTTGTGCTGAAGGCATTCTGCCAGAGCCAGTGTGGGCTATATTATGAATCAGACATTTGTATAGTATGGAAAGTTATATTCTAGCATCCTACAGAATGGTCTGAATCCCAGCTTCCTGAATACATTATTATGTTAGCTGCAGTTTTTAAATCTGTGAAATGAAAATTCCAAAACAAAACAAAAGACAGGAACTCTCTTAGCAGTACACAGAATATGCAATAGGTTAGTTTTCCTATCTGAAACTCCACTTGGAGGCCTTTGCTGGAAGGTAATGATCAGGTAAACTACAATGGACTGGAAGGGGTCTCTTTACAGTTGACTGAACTTAAGTGCTAGAATTTGGGCACATAAGTATAGAAAGACATTGTCCTGATTTTCTAGATAAGACTTACAAAGAATTTAAGCTTAGAAGTGATAGAATGTGGGGCTGGGGATTTAGCTCAGCGGCATAAGCGCCTGCCTTGCAAGCGGGCCGTCGTGAGTTCGATCCCCGGTACCGATAAAAAGGAAAAAGACTAAAAAAAAAAGAAGTGATAGAATGTATCAGAGTTCACTAGAAGAGATTTAATATTTTTTAAAAAATCTATATGTATAGCTCTAGCTATGTATCTGTATCCCTGCAGAGTCGGGGGCGGGTGTACATGAATGCACAGGGCTGTCTGCTCAGGAAAGCCAGAGGTCACAGGTCAAAATTTGCAGATCCTGAACCTTGCAGTGATGCCCGTGAGTTCATTCTGGATGGGGCACCCAAAGAGGCGATGGTCAAGACTGGAGCTCCTGGGAAAAAGTAAAAAGGAGATTATCTTCTTCACTCTCTTCTCATTTTGTAGCTCAGTCTGGCCTTGAACTCACTACATACTCAAATTGGCCTCGACCACGTAGGGATCCCTGATTCAGCCTCCAGAGTGCTTGGATTACAGGCGTGGGCGCTCCGCCTGTTTTATTTTTTTCCCCCTTTAAATTCCATCCAGGTTACCAGCCTTTAGATTGGTGCCGTCCACACCCAGGCTGGGTCTTTCCTCTTCAGTGAATCCATCATGCAGACACACCCAGAAGTGCTCCCCTAATGGGCTCCGCACTTTCTTATTCAAATCAACACTACCATTAACTCACAAAGCGGCAAAGGCGAAGGAAAGAAATCTTCTTTCAGATTTTAGTCGGTTCGGAGCTAAAATATGAAGACAGGCACGTACAGGCAAGAGACACCACCAGTCTTTGTGCCACGATGTCAACTGTAATGCTAATTTTAGCGACGCTATTGACCGAAGCCGGTTTTAACACTGGAGTAACGTGACTGAGTTCTTAAGTGCATTATTACACCTTCTCCCAAATGGGTCCTCTATTTTTCGTTTAAAATGCAGAAGCTTGTATGCGTGATATGTTTTGCTTTTCTCCAGAAAGTGCAACATTATATAAGTTAAAAAAAATAAAATACAGAAGCTTGGAGAAAGCCACCTTCAGGATCAGCCAGGAAAACCCTAGGGAGGATACCAAGGAGAGGCCGGTCGACACCGCATTTGCCTCTCGCGGTCACGAATTCGGAGCTTGCGCCTACTCGCTCCGGATTCCAACAGGATTCTAACGCTCAGTCGAGCCGTCCCTGGTGACGTCAGAGCGCGATTCCGCTCAGTGACCAATCCGGAGCGCGGACTCCGGGGAAGCCCCGGGCGGCGGCGCGGGCTGTGCGCCTGCGCGAGGGCTCCGCGTGGCTATATAAACATGGCTGGCGTGGCGGAGCAGCCCGGCCCTGCCGCGAGCGCGTAGGGGTCCACGGGACGCTCCCGGGCTTCAGTTTTGAAGTTTCTGGCGGGGGAAACCGCCGCGCAGAGTTGGGTTCGCAAGTCGAGGCTGAAGTCAGCGCTGCTGGGAGACGCGCGCAGGGACTGGGCTGCAGCCGGGACCTGGGACGCCGGGCTGAGGCGGCACACGTGCGAGCGCCGAGCGGGTGGAGCAGAAGCACCGGGACGCGCGGCAGCTGCTACCCGGCCGGCGCCGCCTCTGGCTTCCCCGCTGCGGCCCCATCGCCCGTCCTCAGCGATGCTGTGGAGCCGGCACTGCGCTGGAGTCGGCTGCCGCTTGCCAAACCCCTCTTGGCCTCTGCGTTCGCACCGGCAGCGCCGCGGCTGCCGCTGATGCCGGGGATGCCCGCGGGCCTCACCGAGTCGGCCGGCGCCGGTGCGCCCGCGGTCGTGAGCACCTCGGGGACCATAGCACTGGCCCCCGCCGTGGCGACCCCTGTCCGCGTGGAGAGCACCCCGCTGGCCCTGGGCGCCGTGACTAAGGCGCCCGTCAGCGTCTGCGTGGAGTCCACCGCGTCCCAGCCGCTGCGGTCCCCCGTTGGGACCCTGGTCACCAAAGTGGCTCCTGTCAGTGCTCTTCCCAAACTCAGCGGCGGCCCCAGGCTGCCCGCTCCCCAGATTGTCACCGTGAAAGCCCCCAACACCGCGACGATCCAGCTGCCTGCTAATCTGCAGCTTCCTCCAGGTATGTTGATCACCACTTCGTCAGTCCAGCCTGGGTGTCCCTGGAGACATCATACCCCCGATTGCGCCTTCTGTCTTGTGGCTAAAACAAAAACAAAAACCAAACAAACAACCCTGAGGCAAGAGAATCTTTCATAATCTTGACTTTGCAGTGAGTGTACGGGCAACAGCTCTTTGGGAAACGCTTTGGTTTGACAGTCCATCCTCTGTGTGTCATTACATTTCCTATTTAGTGAAGGAAGCTTTTCACCTGAGAAGACAGTCATTTTCTCCACAGTGGCACAGTTAAAGTTTGGAGCTGCATATTCAGGAGGGCTCTTGAGGCACGACCTAGGCTAGAGTTAATTTCCTTGGGGATAAAGGACCAGTTTATAATTCCACATGCTTAGATTATGATGTTTTCAAAGTCTCTTTGGAGCCAGGCTTGGTGGCTCAAGCCTGTAATCCCTGCATTTAGGGAGGCTGAGCCAAGGGGGTCTCTGAAAGTTCAGGGTCACCCTGGACTACATAATGAGACTTTGTCTTAAAAAAAAAAAGTGTCTTTTAAAAGTTTTTGTGTGTTCAGAATGAAAGAGAATTTTAAATTTAAGCAAGCCAGAAGAAATTTACAGCCTCTAGTTTCAGAAACAAATGCCACTTTTTGCATAGTCTTCAAATGTTTAATGATGGCAACTTTCTGAAAACAAGTGCCACAGCTGACAGACAGATCAGAGCCCTGCAGTTATTTTTGAAGCAATGCATGAATGTTCTGTTAATGAGTCTTCGATTTTTATCCTAGGGCTTATTACTCTGTTGGGCCATTTCTCATGTTTTACATAGAGGCTTTGCAATAATTACACATGGTAAATGTGCTGAATGAAATTTGATTGTTTCTTTAACTGACAGTTTCTCAAAATTTGTCTTCTATAAATTTTGCTTAGCAAAAATTAGAAGTCTGACCTCTGAGAAACTGGCCAAGGAAATCTTTCATAGTTTTCACTTGGATGATAAAGAAATAAAGAGAGGGGCTGTTTTTTATAGCTGATGCTGTATTTGATTATGAACATCATGGGCTAATTATATTCTTCACTTTTAATGAAATTATGTTTCAGTTTTATGTTGTACACAAGATACCTACACTCCTTAAAGCTGTGCAACACTGGATACATTATTTGCTGGTTCTAAATTGTCATCCTGTGTACGCTCACAAAGCAGTTCTAAGTGTGTTTCAATTCAATTACATTTTTTTAAAAAGAATATAAATTCTTCTCTTGTAACTGACGTTCTTTGGAAAACATCTTAATAAAAATATTAAGATGTAAACTTGTGAGTGAAAAGTTGCTGGTAAACTGGAACAAATCACTTGGTGAGAATTTAGTAGGGACTTTTAATGCAATACATTCTTTTCTTCAGCCAGAATACATAGCAAATAAGGAAAGACAAATAACTTACCCAATGTCAGGAAACTCATAAGAATCAAAGAGGGAATTTGAATCCAAGTCTGTTAAACTCTACTCTTTCTGTAGCACTGTACTTACTGCATGCATTTGTACAGTGTGCCTTTTGAACATTGGTGCTAAAAGGTGAGTTAGAGTTTTAGAGCCTGATCTTTGATTTTATCATCCAGAAACCACAGCTAACATTTGCCTGAGTTAAATAGCAACAAATTAAGACCACAGTCCAAGTGTGACACTAAAATATTTTATTCTGTTGATCATGGAGGGGCACATTCACACACACCCTGGCAAGAGTGGCAGTAGTTTTTCAGTAATTGTTAGTTACAGAGGAAGTTGGGAAGTTCTTTCAAGATCTGCTTTTGGAAATTTCTGTTGATGTGTGGCAGAAAAGCCAAAAATTGAAGAATGAAGTTGAAAAGTTACTAAAATAACTTTAGGTTATGAATCCTGTACTGTTTTTCTTGTGTGCTGAGAATTAACATTTGATTATTCAAGGATATGTCTGTTACTAATTTTTCAAGTAGTGCATTCATCTAAAATACTGGATTCTCTTCAGAATTTCTTCTGAACAGAACTGGTTTTAAAATCCATATACACCACAGATTTTTCTAGGAAGCTGGGGTGTAAAAAAAAGTGCAGGTGTTTGTGGGGTTGGCATATGAGGATATAACTTTTTTTTGGTGCTCTCTTTAGTCTTCTTTTTGTCAACATGTGGGATTTTAGGCTAAACTGTGCCTTTCTGGTGTTGGTCTCCTCTAGCACTTGTTTGAGAGGGATGGTTGAGGACTCAGGTTACTTTTTCTAGGTGATAAACTGATGGATCTTGCATGACAGTCATACTGTGTGAAAGTTGCTTGAGAAGCAGTTGAGGTCTTACCTTCTTGCAGAGATAGGGCACAGACTTTGCACCTTTCTTGCATTCCTGAACCAGTCTGTGTTTCTATGTTTATGTAAAAGATGCAGCAGTACACAGTATCAGCTCCACAGTCAGGCCTGTGTTGCTGGGCTTGGTGAAATGAAAAGCTGTTCTTTCTCTTCAGTGCCCACCACAACCATCTGCTGTTTGGATTTCAAAGGCTGTGGAGTCAGCTTAGTGTGAGAACATCATGACAGGTTTTCTCTGGGTTCCTCCCGCAGCAGGAAATGCTGGCAGTCCTTCAGGTGGTCCTATTGTGTGTTCTCACTTTGTGCTTTGCCTACGCTAGTATTTTTACACTCTTGTTATTTCCCTTTCTGAGTTCCACAAAGGCAGCCGCTCTGTGTCACCTAGTTATTTCTAGGGCCCGAGTAAGTTGTAGGGCTCAGAGAAGCCACTTAAATAGTATTAGAATGCAAATTATAATGGAGAGGGTGGGGGCTGGAAGGCTATAGCCCCTACACTGTAGAGGTGGTGAACGTGTTAGAGAGCAAGTGCCCCAACTGCAACCCTGAACCTGCATTTTTATCGCAAAGTGCCAACACTGTGTTTAAATCTGAATACATGATACTTGGCTGCTGGAACTACTTGGTTTGTGCACCAACAGAAAGGCAGGAGTGCCATAGATTTACCACCACTGCACAGGATTCTGAGGGCCAAGAAAGTTAGCATTGTGTTGAATTTTGATTTCATTGCTTATTCTTCGTAAATGCAGTGTATACTTACATTAACAAATACTGAAATGTGATCTCCTTGTCACCAGAGTATTGCTACTAACAATTTTATTGTATCTTTTTAATGTTAGAACCTGTAAGTGCTTCTTCCTTTTTTCAGCTGAAAATTAGTTCATTGTATTGCCATTCTTTCGTTTTTTTGACTAGGTCTCTATTCAAAGCATTGGTAATTTTGCACTGCTTTTTTTCCTTTTCAAATGATGCTGTAATAAACGTCTTTGTGCATATGTTTCTATGGTGTTTTATAAACTGATTTATTATAAGATAGATTACTACAAGTGAAATCATTGGTTCAAATGGTAGTATTGCAGTAGGCATTGACTAATTGTCCCCCAAAAGGTTGCTTAAATGCATAATTCACAAAATTAGTACTTAATTTTAAAAAAACTACCCATAGGAATCTAAGAAGTCATTTTCAGATTTAATTAATGATCAGAATAGATGAGCCTTATAATTGAGTGGGGGAGTGTTGACTTTGATTAAAGAGAAATGAGGACTGAATCATAATACTATGAAATGAAATTGAGTAACTATGCCTGTGATAGGTTGTGTTTAGATGTCCTCCCATAGCCTTATGTGGTTCTAGGTAGAGCTTTTTCAGAGGTGATTGACTCTAGAGTGTGTGACTGATTCCTGGTGCAGTGCTAGGATTAAGGGTGTTAGAATTAAGGATGGGTGATTATTAAATCACTCCACTGGTTTGGCATGGCACTAATCCCAGTAGCCTGAATGCAATAGAAGGGACTTTTGCTATTTTTTGCCCACCATGAACTGTTCTCCTCTGCAAAGCCACCCTTCCTTGGAACCAGCCAATTATGGACTGAAACCTCTACAAACTATAAACTAAATAAACCTTTTCTCCTTTAATTTTGGGAGTCTGAGTATTTTGTCTCAGCAGTGAGAGACTAGTAACAGACAATGCCTAAGAGGGCTGTCAGTGGTTTGAAGTTGTCTGAATATATGATAGTATATTATCCTGGAAACTTAGACTAGAACCACAGAATAAGGACCAGGTGATATGTTTACTAAGTTTGTAGATAATAAGGAACTTGGATGGTTAGACTTTTCTGACCAGTGATGGAATGTAGCAATAAAGGGCAGATTACTGGCCCTGGAGTCAACAGACCTAGATTTGGATTCCAAATTTACCACTTAATAGCTTTGTGGTTTGGGTAAGTTTTTAGTCTCATTCTTCATATCAATTTTTTTTAATCTTTAAAAAGTGACTAGTAAGTTCTTCCTAGAGGTACTGTAAGGATTAGGTAAAGCACATACATGAATTTTACAGAACTCTGGCGAATACCATGTATGTGGGATACAGTGCAATACTTCAGTAAAGTCCTGAATATTTAAGGAACCTGTTATAGAAGTTGCCTCTAGGTACTGTACTTGGTGGTTGTTATTTATCATGTATATATATCTACCAAATTCTCAGCATTCTAAACTGATGAATCTTTAACTTTGGAGCCTATCTATCATTTTGAGAAGGGATTAGAAACATTATATGTGTTGTAGAAAATTTGGGAAAGGATTTGTTCTCCAAAATATTTTGAGTGTACTCTATCTTTTTTTAAAGTTCAGCTTCACTAAGATATAGTTTTTGTTTTTAGACAAAGAGATCCATTATAGTAAGTGTTGAAAAATTTGATGAAGTTATAGCCACAGTTGTATAGAAAATATATTCATGAAACATTTTACTTTCAGAAGCTTTTAGTCTCTGGAATAAAAATGTCTGCATACTTCCTCTCTTTTTACACAATTAAAATTCTGTGATACTATTTTCATATTTAGTTCTTAACCAGTATATTAGTGACAATTTTCTGTTAAAAACTCATAAGTTACTTTTTAATGGCTGCATAATCCATCAGTAATTTCCCTGTAGACTGTTTCTTTTTTTATTTTAGAATTATAACTT